GGTGTCAAGCTTCACATCAGCTGATAAATATTTATTTATGAGGTACACACTGGTGGGTAGTGTAAATGTTTGCATCTGTGAGATGGTGTGGTGCAGACCTAGGTAGTTGAAGCAGGGTGGTGTGATGGTAGCTATGAGATATTGTATCGACCACTCAAGCTATTACATCCACATTACACACGGCTGATCGGTGTCTGAAGATGTCGTAAAAACAGAAAATTTACATTGCTGTTTGAGAGTATAAAGTGTTATCCATATTTATTGTGGTCTTTTATAATTTTTTGTATCATTCTGATGGCTTCTTTTATCGTTGGAATGTGTTTTACACTGTGCATGGGAAAATGATTTTCAATTAATGCTTTTTCACAGAACAGTAACTGGGCGGTGTCCATACATGTTGAACAGCAGGATCTTGGTGGTCATGTCTGTACCTTACACCAGATAAGAACCAAGTGTCCATTCACATTATAAAGAGAATACCATTTACTGTACTTGCATCCAATTTGTTCAGTTTCCTTTTTTTTTATCATGCGACTGTATGTAGAGTTGCATGATTAGAATAGAAAATAAATCCTGTGAATTTTTTAGGTGTACCGGCCATTTTTCACTAAGGTAGTACCCCAAAGAAGCACATTAATTGTTATTTATTTAATAGCTGTTCATGGATGTCACAACTAAAACTATTCTGAACTGCAGCGTACCCAAGGTGCAGGCACTGTCCTTCTTCCTCCACAACCAAGTTCAGCGAACTTGTGTCTCTTGTTACCTTCATCATGTGCTGTTCTTAAATTATCTGTTAGTTTATTATTTTTTTAATTTACTTTTATTATTCCTTACAACATTTTATACATTATGAATTTTCATGTGTGTAATACGGCCTCTCCTCGCTTACCGACGACTCAGACTTACAACGGGCTTTCTGATCAGCATGCATACCTAAATGATGTATATTAGAGCTGATTTCCTCTATTCTGTTTATTACAATAAACATTACACTATTGTATAAACATTTGAAAATAAACTAAAAATGTTATAAATGGTGCACATGCAACATTAAAACAATATCAAAGATGGTTGACATAAACCCACGTACTGACATGGTCTTAGGAGTAGAACTCCGTTGTTAAGTGAGGAGAGATTGTATATGAAGTGAAATCATAGTTTCGTGCAATTTTTGTATTATATCACATTTTCTTACCTGATTTTTGTATTATATCACATTTTCTTACCTGATTTTTGTATTATATCACATTTTCTTACCTGATTTTTGTATTATATCACATTTCTTACCTGATTTTTGTATTATATCACATTTTCTTACCTGATTTTTGTATTATATCACATTTTCTTACCTGATTTTTGTATTATATCACATTTTCTTACCTGATTTTTGTATTATATCACATTTTCTTACCTGGTTTTATTTTTATGCACTGTACAACACTCAACTTATACTTTAACATTTAAGTTTAGCCATTGCTTTTTTTTTTAAGGCATTTTTAGAAATGCTTTTAATTTTCTGTTTAATTTACTACATAATGCTGTACTGCTCTTCTAAAGTGTCTCACTATGCACCATTGCTAGTTTGCTGTCCAATCTTTGTGCATCGTTTTCTGTAGTGCATGTGCCTCTAAGCTGAGTGTTCTAGCATAATTTGAGCTTATAATTTTGTATTTAAATTTTGCAGCTGTTCAAATTAGCTTGTCTACTACTAAGGAAGAAGATGCCCATGGAATTAATGACTCCACATAAGAACAGCTAATTTTTGATTATGCAGCAAGACCTAAATTAGTAGTAATGGTAGAATTACCAACAAAATGTTAGGTAAATGGACACACATGCAACTAATGCGACATTTTATTGTGGCAACACTTCACTCTCCAGGAGTTTTGTCAAGCCGTAATAGATTTACAAAGCTGGAGAGTGAATCATTTCCACAGTAAAATATCATATTAGTTGCATCTGTGTACATTTACCTATCATAAGACCTCAATTAATTTGAAGGAAAGTAGTTTCATTTCTGACAGGGATATTTCAGTGACCTGCAGCCATCAAGTCACCTTCACTGTGCTCTACTACAGATGGTAATTGCATGAAGCTTCAGCGTGTAAGAGGACTTGCTATTTTTTGGCTCTGGCTCCTGACACCCCGCTCTTCAAGGGAAAGACAGGAGGTGCCATGATAATGGTGAAGGGCTCTTGATTCAGGGACTTGGAACTACTACTACTCTACCTTGAATCAAACTTACCTCCCATTCCCTACATACTGTATGACCTCTATAGGGATAATGGTTTCCTATGAATATAATAATCTGGCATAGTAACATATCTTGACTGTGACTAGTTTCAGTGGGTTTCTACCTCCACAACCTGACCTGAAACCAGACTTCTTTATTGACTGCTTCGTCATCCAGGATGTTTCTGTTAGTGGCCTGCAGGCCTACATAGGCATCACAACCTGGATGATCACATAGTTGTCCAATTTCCTCTCAAAAACTTGTCCTCTAGAGACTGCTGCTAATGTTGTCCACTTTCTCTGTCAGTGTTGTCATCTTTTGTAATCTGTCTTATTCTTTTACTCCTCTACTTTACTATTAAACTGCTCTGAATATGAATCAAGTTTTTCATTTTCCTCTCCACAGCCCACTGGCAGAAGGTACGCTTATCTTGTTTTCCTGATACACTAAGCTTTTCCACTTAGGGTGTTTAGCTGTATTGCTCACAACCCATTCTCACCTTCAGAAAATAAATTCTGTTTAGATGCTGTAATCATAAAATAGTGGATATTAAATGCAAAATGGTGTGCATACTATGGGTTTTGCATGTATGGTAGTGCATGCAAGAGTTCGCTGTATGGTAGTTTTCACCTGTGCAACTTACATCAATGTAACACCAACATTGTACATTTGCTCTGTGGACTTGTAGCTGTATACATTACAGTAGATTTTTATATACAGTTTTCAATACAGTACCTTCTATCTTTTATATACATGTATTGTATATACAGAATATCACAAGAGAGGTCATGACTGAGGGCAAACTGGCATAACTTTTTTTCCAGTAATAAATAGGTTGGGTATTCCCCACTCCACCTCAGTCAAAGAAAGTGTTAAAAAAGGGAGGTTGGGGTACTTAAATCTTTATAAGAATTGCATTCTGAGTTGACATTTCACCATGCAAAATATGCATTGTGTTATATAATTACAACATAATGTGTGATAAAGACGAATCACAGGGATGTCAGGAAGTATTTCTTCAATCACAGAGTGGTCAGGAAGTGGAATAGCTTGGGAAGCAATGTAGTGGAGGCAGGATCCATTCATAGCTTTAAGCACAGGTATGATAAAGCTCATGGTTCAGGGAGAGTGACCCAGTAGGTGAGTACACTGTATGCATCTTTCTGGAAGGTATTCCTATCTTATCTTACGAGTGTAAAATCAAAGCCTATTAAATGTTTTGCACTCTGACAGGCAGGCCTGCTGGTCTTCTTTTTATTTTTCTGTCCACAAATATGTGAGCTGACGGGTAAATATTACACATTTCGACCTACATTCAGTAGATACATTGCTTTTCTGTGTTTTTGTTAATACAGTAGTCATTTTTCTTGTAACATTTCCATTCCAGTTTGAGGTCTGGTCTGAGACTGGGCAGCAGTGGTGATGGCCCCCATAACCATCAGTGGGCCCCATAGTGGGGTAACACTAGACAACACACTTCACTGCCTATTTATTATGTGGTGGATGCTGGTCTTCGCTAAAAAAAAATAAAATGAATTCAACATACTGGCCATCTTCCACGAAGGCAAGGTGACCTGACAAAGAAGAACACTATAAAAGAATTTCTTCTTTTTACATTGAGCAATTTATACAGGAGAAGGGGGTTACTAGCACCTTGCTCGCAGCATTTTAGTCGCCTCTTATGACATTCATGGGTTACGGAGGAAGGATTCTTTTTCACTTTCCTATGGAGATGAAAGGAAATAAATAAGAATAAGAACTATTAAGAAAACAAGAAAATTCAGATGGATGTGTATACATACACGTGTATATGACTAAAAATATGCAAAGTATTTTTCTGTTGCTATTTTGATGTTGTTTTTACTTATATAATTTTAGCAGCATACAAGATATACACTTTAGGAATTGTGTATGCATGGTGAAATTGAGTATTAAAACATTAAGACTTCCACACGAATATAATAATACATCTGATTTAGACATAATACTATTAACGGAGCTAAAAATAAACAATACTCGGTAAATCCAATTATTTGATAAAGCCAAACTTGGGTAAGGTGTACAAACACTCAGTCTGTGTATCTCTCATATTGTTTCCATGACTTGTCACAGGAGCTTGTTATATTTGATATACAGAATCATACTGATCTAAAGCCAAGCCGTTTGATAAGTTTTTTTTTTTTTTTTTTTTTTTTTTTAATATCGATGTGTTATTTTCTATAGCTTTATTGAAAATCAGGTTTTCTGTATGCCAAATATGTTCCTGTGTTGGTGAAGCAATAAAATTCCACAAGGTATAGAAGCAGTAATGTTTGAAGGGTATACAGTATTTTGATTCAGGTATACCTTTGAGTTTTGGGGGTTTTTCTATACCCAGAGCCTAGCCTTGGGCTAGCCTTGTCTGGTGCTTGCCTGGTCAACCAGACTGTTGCTGCTGGTGGCCTACTGACCAACTTTTTTTTTTTCCTAAGAGAAGAGTTCCACTGGATAACAGCCTTCATAGGGGCACCTTGATGCCAGTGAAAGATTCTTGATCTGAAGAACCCGTCCTATCCCTGGATCAAACCTAATTATTGCACCTTCCCTTTCCTGACTGCTGTATGATTCCTATGGGTTTAATGCAAAATTCTTTAACCAGTGATGTGTTAATAAAAATTTTGGTTAATGCAGCATTGTGACACATACAAGAATTTTTTTTTTTTTTTTATAATTTTTTCATGAATCGGGCTAATCCTTATAATATAAATGCACGTAATATTTATAGGAAGGGCCTGGGGTCTTGTCTTCCTCCTGTTCCACGCCCGAAAATACAATATTGGAAGTGCCGTCTACCACTCCAGACACTGGTGGTGTGTCTGGGATGTGGTTGAGTGGACGGGAAGGGGGTGGCTTGCCTTGGGAAGAGATTTCCCGGGTTCTGCACACAGATCCCAATCTTGGTATCTCTTCCCGAGAGGTTCTGAATCGTAGACAGCTAGTTGGTTACAACGAATTCTCTGAGGCAGTGGATGATCCCCTCTGGAAAAAATATTTGGGCCAGGTAAGATTCAAACAAAATGCTACTAATATAGTATATGAATATAACTGGTAGATGTTACAGGCAAGCCTAGCCTTATGAATAATTTTTTTCTATCTGATCCAGATATTAAACATATTGTATGTTACTCAGTGGACATAATTAATATTATAATTTTCAGTATTGTGCTTAAATTAAGGTTATTTTTCCTGATTTTGTTAGTTTTTAAAACTGCGTTATGTACGAGATGGTGGAATTTGTATTAAAATTTTTGTTTCAGTTTAAAGAACCATTGATTCTCCTTTTGCTGGCATCTTCATTCGTTTCTTTGTGTATGGGCCAATTCGATGATGCTGTTGTCATCACACTTGCAATTGTAATTGTAGCATCAGTGGCATTTATTCAAGAGCTTAGAACAGATAAAGCTCTAGAGGAGCTCAAGAAACAGGTAAGCAAAATGGATCTCTTTCCTTGTGTTATTGTAAGTATTTCTATTTGAGTTATCGATTGTGGGGTAGAAATACATAGCATGGAGGAAATTTTACTTTTTTAGTGCTAATTTTGCATATTTAGTATGAGAAAATGTTTTTGTGACTGTATTATTATTATAATAAAATAAATTATTATTATTATTTTATTATCACACTGGTCGATTCCCACCAAGGCAGGGTGGCCCGAAAAAGAAAAACTCTCACCATCATTCACTCCATCACTGTCTTGCCAGAAGGGTGCTTTACACTACAGTTTTTAAACTGCAACATTAACACCCCTCCTTCAGAGTGCAGGCACTGTACTTCCCATCTCCAGGACTCAAGTCCGGCCTGCCGGTTTCCCTGAACCCCTTCATAAATGTTACTTTGCTCACACTCCAACAGCATGTCAAGTATTAAAAACCATTTGTCTCCATTCACTCCTATCAAACACGCTCACGCATGCCTGCTGGAAGTCCAAGCCCCTCGCACACAAAACCTCCTTTACCCCCTCCCTCCAACCTTTCCTAGGCCGACCCCTACCCCGCCTTCCTTCCACTACAGACTGATACACTCTTGAAGTTATTCTGTTTCGCTCCATTCTCTCCACATGTCCGAACCACCTCAACAACCCTTCCTCAGCCCTCTGGACAACAGTTTTGGTAATCCTGCACCTCCTCCTAACTTCCAAACTACGAATTCTCTGCATTATATTCACACCACACATTGCCCTCAGACATAACAGCTCCACTGCCTCCAGCCTTCTCCTCGCTGCAACATTCATCACCCATGCTTCACACCCATATAAGAGCGTTGGTAAAACTATACTCTCATACATTCCCCTCTTTGTCTCCACAGACTCCTAAGTGCACCACTCACCCTTTTCCCCTCATCAATTCTATGATTCACCTCATCTTTCATAGACCCATCCGCTGACACGTCCACTCCCAAATATCTGAATACATTCACCTCCTCCATACTCTCTCCCTCCAATCTGATATCCAATCTTTCATCACCTAATCATTTTGTTATCCTCATAACCTTACTCTTTCCTGTATTCACTTTCAATTTTCTTCTTTTGCACACCCTACCAAATTCATCCACCAATCTCTGCAACTTCTCTTCAGAATCTCCCAAGAGCACAGTGTCGTCAGCAAAGAGCAGCTGTGACAACTCCCACTTTGTGTGTGATTCTTCATCTTTTAACTCCACGCCTCTTGCCAAGACCCTCGCATTTACTTCTCTTACAACCCCATCTATAAATATATTAAACAACTACGGTGACATCACACATCCTTGTCTAAGGCCTACTTTTACTGGGAAATAATTTCCCTCTTTCCTACATACTCTAACTTGAGCCTCACTATCCTTGTAAAAACTCTTCACTGCTTTCAGTAACCTGCCTCCTACACCATACACCTTCAACATCTGCCACATTGCCCCCCTATCCACCCTGTCATACGCCTTTTCCAAATCCATAAATGCCAAAAAGACCTCTTTAGCCTTATCTAAATACTGTTCACTAATATGTTTCACTGTAAACACCTGGTCCACACACCCCCTACCTTTCCTAAAGCCTCCTTGTTCATCTGCTATCCTATTCTCCGTCTTACTCTTAATTCTTTCAATAATAACTCTACCATACACTTTGCCAGGTATACTCAACAGACTTATCTCCCTATAATTTTTGCACTCTCTTTTATCCCCTTTGCCTTATTATGTATGTTATATACAGTAATGTATACTACTTGGAACCATCATAATAACATAATATTCTAAGACAGCTCATTCAACAAATGATACAAATTGACACTACCACAGCCAGCTCATCCAGGCTGTGATTGATATGTGGGTCGGCAGACCAGCAGAAGTAACAGCCTAGTTAACCAGGCAAGCACCAGATGACCCTGGCTTGTGGCTGGTCTCCTTGAATAGAAAATCTCTCGAAACTCATTGAGAGTATATCAGAGGGGCTCATATGGATGTATAGAAGCCTTCATCCCTAACTTAAATGGAATCAGATAGCAGAGTGATCTAAGGCACCACCCTAGTGATGGTTAACTAAGGCTGACTTTGAGTAATGCAAGATCAGATCAGTCATAAAGGCTGAGATATAATGTTTCTTTTACATTTCACTCTGTTTTTGTGAAGTTGTAGCATTCTAACCGTCTCATGAGGCAGGCATGATGTGTGGGACAACATGAGTTTAGTTAGTTGGGATCGGGATTATTTTTTATTGTCACAGTTTGTAAAGTATTAGAAATTCAGAAAATAAGCATTGAAATTTTTGAGTCGTGGAAGTGGAAAGTACAGTGCTTGCACTCTGAAGGAAGAGGTGGGGAGGTTATGGTCTGGAGGGTCATATAAATGTGACAGCAGTGCACTTCCTAAAAGACAGTTATTAACTGAATGATGATAAATGCATTTCCTTCGTCGGGTCGCCTACTTTGGTGGGAAACACTGTGTGGGATAAAGGAAATGAATATTCTCCTATATCATATTAACACTTCTCCTAATGGAAAATTAATTGTCTTCACAGTACTCTCTTTCCATAATGTTGCCTTGAAAATATAGGAGGAAATTACATAACTTACAGTTTCCATTGACTTATTAAATACATGTATGCTTTAGTTGTTGCTTTACTAGTATCCCAAACTTATAAAATATTATATTGTAATAATGTATTCTCATCTCTATTTTTTTTTTATTAGGTTCCAGCTACTTGTACGTGTCTTCGTGATGGCAATATTCGAGAATATCAAGCTAGAGAATTGGTGCCAGGGGATATTGTTCATCTTAACATTGGTGACAGAGTGCCAGCAGATCTGAGGCTGTTTGAGGCCTTAGACCTGAGCATTGATGAATCCAGTTTTACAGGGGAGACAGAGCCTGCGCCTAAGGTAAAACTCAGTGTCTCCGTTTGTTATCCCTAGTAGGAATACCTTGTAGTTTTTTTTTTTTTTTTACCATACCATCTATCCACCACTGTTTCTGAATAATGTTTTGAGAGTACTTTTTTTTTTCATTGACTTGAACTTAAAACACCATTAGCCATTTTGTGAGCCAATTTTTCACTAAGCTGGGGTCATTGTCAAATTTACTGTATTCCCTAATATCAGCTTTGGAATATATCTTGCACATTTTAATTCCTTTCATGTCATAAAGATTTATGAGATACTTGCATTTAATTGCTAATGGCTTTGTCTTCTTAATAGTGCATTACCAGTAGAATGTAGTAGGTATAAATTGTGATATCGATGCAGTTTTGGAAAGATGGCCGGAGAATGATTGTTGGGCAGTGCTTTTTCTTCATTGGATCACCCTGCTTTGTTAGGAGATGGCTGGTATGTTAAAATATAAATACAGTGGACCCCCGCTTAACGATCACCTCCCAATGCAACCAATTATGTAAGTGCGTTTGTACGTGTATGTTTGGGGGTCTGAAATGGACTAATCTACTTCACAATATTCCTTATGGGAACAGATTTGGTCAGTACTGGCACCTGAACATACTTCTGGAATGAAAAAATATCGTTAACCGGGGCTCCACTGTATTATTATAAACACACTGGTCATCTCCCACCAAGGCAGGATGACCTGGAAAAAAAAGATACAAAGGTTTTTTTTGTATTTATTTATTTTATATACAGTGGACCCCTGGTTAACGATATTTTTTCACTCCAGAAGTATGTTCAGGTGCCAGTACTGACCGAATTTGTTCCCATAAGGAATATTGTGAAGTAGATTAGTCCATTTCAGACCCCCAAACATACACGTACAAACGCACTTACATAAATACACTTACATAATTGGTCGCATTCGGAGGTGATCGTTATGCGGGGGTCCACTGTAATTTATACAGGAGAAGGGGTTACCTTGCTCCTGGCATTTTAGTCACCTCTTATGACATACACAGCTTACAGAGGAAGGATTCTTTTCCACTTCCCCATGGACAGTGATTCTTGTTATTAATTTCAGATATGCAGTGTAATAACTACAAGCAACTACAGCACATCAGGAAGCATGGGCAACCTTGCATATATGGGAACATTTGTACGCACAGGTCGGGGAAAGGGCATTGTAATAAGTACAGGAGAAAAATCGCAATTTGGGGAATTATTTCGTATGATGCAAGAGGAAGAGGCACCAAGGACACCCTTGCAGAAGAACATGGACGAATTAGCCAAAAAACTTTCCGTTTTCTCATTTGGCTTCATAGGAATAGTATTTATTTTGGGATTGTACCAAGGCATACCTATTCACAAGGTACAGTGTTTTATTTTGTTGATAGAATTATCTTCTTTCTGCTAAGTTTATTAGTTTATTAATAATAATATGAAAAGTAAAATTATGAAACTTTAAGCCTATATTTTTATTAAATAAGTTGCCGACTTGTTGAAAAAAAAAAAGTTGCTTTTGTATCAATAGCAGTATAATAAAGATTACTTATCAAATTTAGAATAATTTTAGGGGAGGCATAAAAAATACTATGACACATTTTTGGCATTTTTTTTTTTTTTAACGCACGAGCCATTTCCCACCGACCTGAAAAAGAAACACTTTCACCTTCATTCACACTATCACTGTCTTGCCAGAGGTGTGCATATGGGACAGTGCAGATGTCTCTCCTAACAGTAGATATCCCAAACCCCTCCTTCAGAGTGCAGGTATTGTACTTCCCACCTCCAAAACTCGAGGCCAGCTAACTGGTTTCCCTGAATCTCTCTACAAAATATTACCATGTTCACAAAAACCATCTGCCTCCACTCACTTCTATCTAACACGCTCACACGTGCCTGCTGGATGTTCAATCCCCTTTCACAAAAAACCTCCTTAACCTCCTCATTCATCCTTTCCTAGGACGACCCCTAAAATTCAGTGCACAGTTGCTGAACATGGATTGTCAATGCAGAGGACTTGCCTTTACCTCTTGTGGTGCATATTACCATGCATTTGTATGTACATATGAGACTTTGCATCAGTTAATGATATTTATAAACAGTTTAGCCTTATTTTAACTCTCCCTGAATCTTATAAAAACAATTTTAATATATTCACTGTTACCCTACAGACTTGTACTCTACAATTATTTTTTTTTTATGCATGACCTTGTCTCAATCCACATGATAAAAAACTACAATAATGTTTCTGCTTGTCTCCTGCCACCTAGATTACTTAATTATCTTTTGTTTATCTTTGCAGATATTTAATATAGCAGTAAGTTTAGCTGTAGCTGCCATACCTGAAGGGTTACCCATTGTAGTCACGATGACATTGTGTCTAGGCATACGACGTATGGCTCAGCGCTCAGCGTTGGTCAAGGGCTTGCACACTGTAGAAACTCTTGGCTGTGTTACCACTGTTTGCTCGGATAAAACTGGAACATTAACTAAGGTTAGTAGAAGTGTTTTCTTCAATTAATAAATTTTATCATAGGAGAAAAGAATAGAGGGAACTTGAAGACTATATGTATCACGTGCCCCCTGAATAAACTAAGTTCTCGCCCAACCAGAAATGTGCTCTTGTTTCTGAAAATGCATTTGTTTGTCATGCTGTTTTGTTTTGTTTTTTCTTTGTCTAGTGGCAATGAGATTGAAGGTAAATTTACTCTGAAAATGACTACATTCTTGATTTTAGTTGCTTGCTTATCAGAAAATTCTTGAAAACCCCCAATAATTGGACTGGCCATTTAACTCAGTTCTTAGCCAGTGGGAGCGTGGGATTTGCATACACCTATGCTAGCACCCAGGTGTGAAGGAATGGGAGCAGTTATATATGTACAGTAGAATAGAAATTCCTTATTACTCTTGTTTTTTTAACATTAGCACTTACTAAGTTTATGAAAGGACTGCCTTGAATGTATGAATGTTTGGAATAACAGATGGAGATTTCCTTACAACATTTTATGCAGAATTTATTAGTGAAATATTAGGAAGGAATAATAGATGTGGATAGTAACATACATCATTAACAAACTTCACAAATTGTCACCTTGGGGATGAAAGGAAACTTCTAGTCTCATTTAAAATTTCTACCATGGTAATTGTGACTTTTATTCCTCATCAGTATGAAATTCTCTTTACAGAATGAAATGACAGTGACGTCTATTGCTACCTCAGAGGGTGACGAGTGTCGCATGACTGGAGTTGGTTATTCCACAGATGGTGAAGTTGTGTTTGAAGGAGGATACTCAGAACTAGCTAATGAAGCTGTTACCAAACTCTTAGAGACAGGTAAGTGCTTTAGCCCAAAATAAAGATTGATAAAGAATAAAAGACGCGATATGTGATAAATGTTGTCATAAGCTTTTCTCTCTCTCTCCTGTGTGTGGGTTATTTGTGTAAAGAGTAATATTTTTTCTTTTGCATAAAGCCATAATTTTGACAGATGTTTAATAAAACTAAGAAAACCTGTGAGTTTGACGAGTTCCCTGTCATAATGTTTCACCATTACTTGAAAAAATGAATAGTATGTTATATTCCTGAGATAGACAAGTTGTTCACCCAAACTACCACTATATATCACTAACTTAAAACTTTGAAAGGTGCAAAAGTTTGTGGAGTTCAACTTCTGTTTTTGCCAAGAAATAAAGTAGTTAAAATGGTTTCTAGCCTTTTTATTTTTTAAAGACTAATCAGTAATTTTGGTTGTGGTGAGGAGGGAGGAACTGTACATGCCACAGTCTGCCAATTCTACCAGTGCCACACTTAAAAGAATCCTAACCAGATACCTGTTTACATTGGTGGTGCATTAGTAATGTGGTTGCTTAACTCGTGGTGGGTCTGTAGTTTGATCCCTCATACAGTCCTGCCTCCACCGTATTGTTACATTCACAAGTGTCAGAATAATTCATTAGCTCTAATGTATATTTATACATGTACCAATTATTCACATTCGGCTCTTTTTAAATGGTTCATACTGAAAGATTTGTTTGATTTTGAAACAAGTTTTAATTCATAAGTCTCTGTTAATATATTTATTTCTTACAGGTGCTGTTTGTAATAATGCTCAGATCATTGGAGGTCAGTTACTTGGACAACCCACTGAAGGGGCTATTCTTGCTGCTGCTATCAAGGTGATATTCCTAAAGTTTGGTACAATTCTTAGTTACTCTCTCGTGAACTGGTACTTCTAAAGTTTAGTATAGTTTTTAGTTATACTCTTGATGACTCTTCATCCTCAATGTATTTTGTTCTTTCGTTGTGAAGTGTTTAGCTATATTCAAGTATAATATAATTATGTAGTTGTTATACATTCCCTATATTAACAAGTGCTTGTCTATTCTGCTTTCTTCAGTCTCCTCATATTCATGTAACTTTGCTTCTGTTTGTTAATAATTTTTGAACTGAACTACAGAATTTTTTGTAGCTTGTTGCTAACATTTCCCTATAATACTACTTTCTGCACACCTTTTGTATTTGTAGTTAAATCTGTCTTGTTCATGTTCTTTTTCTTCAGCTAAGTCATAACTTGCTACATTGACTCTTAATATAACATGATAAGGTTGGAGGGAGGGCGTAAAGGAGGTTTTGTGGGTGAAGGGCTTGGACTTCCAGCAAGCGTATGTGAGTGTATTAGGAGTGAATGGAGATGAATGGCTGTATTTATATAAATATACAATTCTGTAAAAATTTTTTCAGAGTTAGCCATCCCTTTTCATTCTTATCTCTAGCCTTACATTTCAAAAGCAAGAAGAAATTACTATTAACATTTCCAAGGTAGTGACAGGTTTGCATCACAAGACCACTGCACTACAGTATCTTATAAGGTATCCTCAACCAGGTAATTTTTTTACCATGAAAGGTTGATAATTGCTGCACTTGGTAATTACCACACTTGGTTAGTAATTACCACACTTGGTTGGTAATTGCTACACTTGGTTGGTAATTGCTACACTTGGTTGGTAACTACCACACTTGGTTGGTAATTGCCACACTTGGTTGGTAATTACCACACTTGGTTAGTAATTACCACACTTGGTTAGTAATTACCACACTTGGTTGGTAATTACCACAATTGGTTGGTAATTGCCACACTTGGTTAGTAATTACCACATTTGGTTAGTAATTACCACACTTGGTTAGTAATTACCACACTTGGTTAGTAATTACCACACTTGGTTAGTAATTACCACACTTGGTTAGTAATTACCACACTTGGTTACTAATTACCACACTTGGTTGGTAATTACCACAATTGGTTGGTAATTGCCACACTTGGTTAGTAATTACCACATTTGGTTAGTAATTACCACACTTAGTAATTACCACACTTGGTTAGTAATTACCACACTTGGTTAGTAATTACCACACTTGGTTAGTAATTACCACACTTGGTTGGTAATTACCACAATTGGTTGGTAATTGCCACACTTGGTTAGTAATTACCACATTTGGTTAGTAATTACCACACTTGGTTAGTAATTACCACACTTGGTTAGTAATTACCACATTTGGTTAGTAATTACCACACTTGGTTAGTAATTACCACACTTGATTAGTAATTACCACACTTGGTTAGTAATTACCACACTTGGTTGGTAATTACCACACTTGGTTGGTAATTACCACACTTGGTTGGTAATTACCACACTTGGTTGGTAATTACCACACTTGGTTGGTAATTACCACACTTGGTTGGTAATTACCACACTTGGTTGGTAATTTCCACACTTGGTTGGTAATTACCACACTTCGTTAGTAATTACCACACTTGGTTAGTAATTACCACACTTGGTTGGTAATTACCACACTTGGTTGGTAATTACCACACTTGGTTGGTAATTACCACACTTGGTTGGTAATTACCACACTTGGTTAGTAATTACCACACTTGGTTGGTAATTACCACACTTGGTTGGTAATTACCACACTTGGTAATTACCACACTTGGTTGGTAATTACCACACTTGGTTAGTAATTACCACACTTGGTTGGTAATTACCACACTTGGTTAGTAATTACCACACTTGGTTGGTAATTACCACACTTGGTAATTACCACACTTGGTTGGTAATTACCGCACTTGGTTGGTAATTACCACACTTGGTTGGTAATTACCACACTTGGTAATTACCACACTTGGTTAGTAATTACCACACTTGGTTGGTAATTACCACACTTGGTAATTACCACACTTGGTAATTACCACACTTGGTTGGTAATTACCACACTTGGTTGGTAATTACCACATTTGGTTAGTAATTACCACACTTGGTTGGTAATTACCACACTTGGTTGGTAATTACCACACATGGTTAGTAATTACCACACTTGGTTGGTAATTACCACACTTGGTAATTACCACACTTGGTTGGTAATTACCACACTTGGTTGGTAATTACCACACTTGGTTAGTAATTGCCACACTTGGTTAGTAATTACCACACTTGGTTAGTAATTACCACACTTGGTTAGTAATTACCACACTTGGTTAGTAATTGCCACACTTGGTTAGTAATTACCACACTTGGTTAGTAATTACCACACTTGGTTAGTAATTACCACACTTGGTTAGTAATTACCACACTTGGTTAGTAATTACCACACTTGGTTAGTAATTGCCACACTTGGTTAGTAATTACCACACTTGGTTAGTAATTACCACACTTGGTTAGTAATTACCACACTTGGTTAGTAATTACCACACTTGGTTAGTAATTACCACACTTGGTTAGTAATTACCACACTTGGTTAGTAATTACCACACTTGTTAGTAATTACCACACTTGGTTAGTAATTACCACACTTGGTTGGTAATTACCACACTTGGTAATTACCACACTTGGTTGGTAATTACCACACTTGGTTAGTAATTACCACACTTGGTTAGTAATTACCACACTTGGTTGGTAATTACCACACTTGGTTGGTAATTACCACACTTGGTTAGTAATTACCACACTTGGTTAGTAATTACCACACTTGGTTAGTAATTACCACACTTGGTAATTACCACACTTGGTTAGTAATTACCACACTTGGTTAGTAATTACCACACTTGGTTAGTAATTACCACACTTGGTTAGGTAATTACCACACTTGGTAAATTACCACACTTGGTTAGTAATTACCACACTTGGTTAGTAATTACCACACTTGGTTAGTAATTACCACACTTGGTTAGTAATTACCACACTTGGTTAGTAATTACCACACTTGGTTGGTAATTACCACACTGGTTAGTAATTACCACACTTGGTTAGTAATTACCACACTTGGTTGGTAATTCCACACTTGTTAGTAATTACCACACTTGGTTATAATTACCACACTTGGTTAGTAATTACCACACTTGTTAGTAATTACCACACTTGTTAGTAATTACCACACTTGGTTAGTAATTACATCACTTGGTTAGTAATTACCACACTTGGTTAGTATTACCACACTTGGTTAGTAATTACCACTTGGTTATAATTACCACACTGTTAGTAATTACCACATTGGTTAGTAATTCCAACACTGGTTATAATTACCACACTGGTTAGTAATTTACCACACTTGGTATAGTAATTACAACTGTTAGTAATTACCAAACTTGGTGTATAATTACCACACTTGTTAGTAATTACCACACTTGGTTAGTAATTACCAACACTTGTTAGTAATTACTCCCTTGGTTATAATTACCACACTTGTTGTAATTACACACTTGCAAATCAACTTGGTTAGTAATTGCCACATTGTGTTTAGTAATTACCATCATTGGTTATAATTACACACTTGGTTAGTAATTACCACACTGGTTAGTAGTTACCAACTTGTTAGTAATTACCTCATTGGTTAGTAATGCACACTTGTTAGTAATTACCACACTATGGTTATATTACCACACTTGGTTAGTAATTACCACACTTGGTTAGTAATTACCACACTTGGTTAGTAATTACCACACTTGGTTAGTAATTACCACACTTGGTTAGTAATTACCACACTTGTTGGTAATTACCACACTTGTTAGTAATTACACACTTGGTTAGTAATTACCACACTTGGTTAGTAATTACCACACTTGGTTAGTAATTACCCACACTTGGTTAGTAATTACCACACTGGTTGGTAATTACACACACTTGGTTTGGTAATTACCACACTTGGTTAGTAATTACCACACTTGGTTAGTAATTACCACACTTGGTTAGTAATTACCACACTTGGTTAGTAATTACCACACTTGTTAGTAATTACCAACACTTGGTTAGTAAATTACCACACTTGGTTAGTAATTACCACACTTGGTTAGTAATTACCACACTTGGTTAGTAATTACCACACTTGGTTAGTAATTACCACACTTGGTTAGTAATTACCACACTTGGTTAGTAATTACCACACTTGGTTAGTAATTACCACACTTGGTAATTACCCGTCACTTCATTAGAATTATTGCATTATGGTATTATGATTTTTTTAGTATCATCACATTTGAAACTTAATGTAGGAGCTTTATTTTTTTTTCTTGAACAGATATCAGCTGCATTAATTTTTCTAGGGTATAGTAAATGAGTTGTATTTTATATATATCATGTTTTTTGCTTTGCAGCACGGTGTATATAATGCAAGAGATAAATACCAGAGATTAGAGGAAATTCCCTTCAAGTCAGAAACAAAAACAATGTCAGTGAAAGTGAAGAATAAGAAGGTAAGTTTTATCTTTAAAAAATCTGTTGTATAAATGTGGCAAATTTTTCAAGATTTTGAGTGCATTCTCTGCATTGTGTTATTTTGAGTGCATTCTCTGCATTGTGTTATTTTGAGTGCATTCTCTGCATTGTGTTATTTTGAGTGCATTCTCTGCATTGTGTTATTTTGAGTGCATTCTCTGCATTGTGTTATTTTGAGTGCATTCTCTGCATTGTGTTATTTTGAGTGCATTCTCTGCATTGTGTTATTTTGAGTGCATTCTCTGCATTGTGTTGAATGATCACATCTCATAACAAATGTTAGTGACTTTAGATAACCTTTTCAGAAATCCTTTCATTAGTGTTATACTTGTTGCCTGTTATTGGTTTCAGGAATCATTATCCCATCCTTAAATCAAGGAATAAGTCATTACCATCAAATTACCACCCAATGTGTCTGACTTCAGTAGTAGGTAAATTAATAGTCATATATGGCTGATATAATAAGAAACCACTTAGATGGTACCGTAGTCCATTAAAGGAATAAGAGCTATCAAGAAACATAGGAAAATAAAGATAAGTGTATACTGAATGTAAGTAGAAGTTAGTAACATTTACCTGTCCTTTTTTTCGTATTTGAGACAGAAAAGGCCAATAAGTCTGCAAGATTGTGAGCTTTCATTTCAGACTTACATGACACTACAGTAGTGCCTCTCTGAATGCTGCCTCTCTACCAAGCTATTGGTTGATTATAATTTTTGTAGTTTTTGTCTTTAGGCAGCTTTGATATTCTTTGTGTTAGACTCAATCTATAATAGACTGTGCACATAAATTGGCCCAGACTCCATGGGAAAGTGGAGAAGAATCTTTCCTCCATGAGTCATGCATATTGTAAGAGGCGACTAAAATGCTGGGGACAAGGGGTTAGTAACCCTGTCTCGGTGGGAGATGGCCAGTTTGTTAAAAAAATGAAGGCTGTAATTTTTTGTCACCAAATCTTGGTGGAAAATAATTGAAGTAGGAAAAAAATCTAAATGTTAAATCTAATGTGGTAACTGTCACTCTTTGTTGTGGCATCTTGCATACACTAGTACTGTATTGTAATGTTATATATTATTATGGAGATGTTGTGTCCAAGGGCAACGTGTGGTATAAATATTATGCAAAGAATTCATAATGTGGAAATTAAGAAAAGGTGTGGAATTACTAAAAGTATTGTTCAGAGGGCTGAGGAGGGCTTGTTAAGGTGGTTTGGTCATTTAGAGAGGATGGAGCAAAATAGGATGACTTGGAGAGTGTATAAATATGTAGGAGGGGTAGGGGGGTCATCCTAGAAAAGACTGAAGGGAGGGGGTGAAGAGGTTTTGTATGCAAGGGGCTTGGAGACACAGCAGGCATGTGTGAGCTTGTTAGATAGGAGTGAATGGAAACAAATGGTTTTTGGGGCTTGACAAGATGATGTAGTGTGAGCAGGGTAACATTTTGTGAAGGAGCTCAGGTAAACTGGTTAGCTGGACTGGAGGTAGGAAGCACAATGTCTGCACTTTTGGAGGGGGTTGGGATATTGGCTTGTTGAAATGACATCTGAACTGTTGTATCTGGGTGTGTCTGCAATGACTAATTATGTGTGAATGATAGTGAAAGTGTTTCTTTTTTTTTTTTGGGTCACCCTGCCTTGGTGGGAGATGGTTGCTACAAAAAAAAAAATTAATGTGGTTGTATACTAATACAGTATACAACTTTTACAGACTGGAGAGGTAGAATGGATTGTGAAGGGTGCAATTGAAGCAGTATTAAGGTCCTGCACTCACTACCATCAAAATATGGCTTTACTTCCACTCTCTCAGGAAAAGCAACATAAAATTTTGACTGCAAGCCTTGAGCGTGGGCGGCAAGGACTTAGAGGTAAGTTTTCCAGGTTGATAGTTGATTGAACTTACTTCAACACATTTTAATGTGGATGTAGCATTTCTCTACGATTATAATAATACCGTGGAACCTCGGTTTTCGTGTGTCCTAGTTTGTATGTAAAACTAGAGTTATTCTCTGTAAAATGTATTTTTTTTTAATATTTTTGGGTGTCTGGAACGGATTAATTGGATTTACATTATTTCTTATGGGAAATATTAACAAAAAATACATTTTATAGAGAATAACTATAGTTTTACATACAAACTAGGGCATGTGAAAACTGAGGTTCCGCTGTAATAATGATAATCACTATTGCAGTATTACTGTATTGAGTGAAATATACAATAACTGTGTGCATAATACATTAGGTTAACCTTTGTTAAACAGTACAGAAATGAAGCCACTACTTTCAGTCTACTAGAGATCCTCTGGCAAGACAGTGATAGTGTGACTGATAGCAGAAGTGTTCACTTTTTGGGCCACCCTACCTTGGTGGGAGACTGCCAGTGTGTAAAAAAAAAATGGGTGGAAAGAGGGGGTGGGGGTTGTCCCAAGAAGGGTTGGACATGCTTATATGCTGCTGGAGTATGAGCAAATCAACATTTATGAAGGGATTTAGGAAAACACTTAGTAGGACATGAGTCCTGGAGTTGGGAAGTACAGTGCTTGCACTGGAGGAGGGTTGAGAATGTTAGGAGGGTCATCTGCACTCTCAGCACACTTCTGTCAACACAAAATAAGTAAATGGTGAATATATATATAGATGTATGTATGTATGTATGTTGTGTGTGTGTGTGTGTGTGTGTGTGTGTGTGTGTGTGTGTGTGTGTGTGTGTGTGTTTGTGTGTTGTGTGTGTGTGTTTGTTTTTAGAGGACCATTCCTCAGTGGGATACAGTTATTGTGTTAGATTTCTTTCTCTTGGAATAACTTTAATTTAAATTTCAGTAATTGGAATTGCCCGAGGATCGTCCTTATTAGAATTAAGCTACATGGGCATGTTAGGCATCATGGACCCTCCGAGAGAAGGGGCTCGGTCTTCAGTGACCACACTGCAATCCACTGGGGTCAGAGTGAAGATGGTCACAGGTGATGCTCAGGAGACGGCATGTGCTATAGCTCAAGCTGTTGGCCTGCATGTAAGTATTGTTGGATAATGTTTGAACTCATTGAAGGGAGGAGAGAGTGCCTTGATGCTGATTGAAGGGCTCCTAATTCAAGAAATTAGAACTACCTTCTTCACTGATCAAGCCTGATTACCTCCCATTCCCTGGTCACTGTTTTAACTATTTTGGGTTTTGCTCTTTCTCGTGAATTTTACTAAATTTCGTTCACTCCTAACGCTGACACAAACCTACTGGATGCTCAGTCTCTTAAAACTTGAAGCCTTCTTTACCCCTCCCTCCACCCCTACCCCCTCTTACTGTACACTCCAAATTTATACACCCTCTTTATCAACCTATCCCTCTCCATCCTCTCTACATGTCCATATCACCTCAATAACCCCTCCTCATCCCTCTGAAGAGGGATTGTTAGATCTTAGCAGCTCTGAAACTGTAAACTGACAAAAGTTTGGTTCATTATCTTTCTCATTGTAGGTACGTCCTGGAACGGTTTTCTCTGGAGAACAGCTGGACAACATGGATGACCGGGTGCTGACTGGATTGGTATCTGATGCAACAGTGTTTTATCGAGTGTCACCCAGACATAAACTGCGTATTGTCAAGGTACCTGTTTTGTTTTTAATGCGCTACCCATTTCTCAACAGGGTGACCTAAAGAAGATAACACGTTAACCATCACTCGTATACACAAATACCCACACATATGAGACAACTTATGTTGAGATTTCAGTCTGACTTGGAACTATCACTCATTCTCTAGCTATGTTTCCAGAAGTGTTTGAACATTACAATTCAAATGACATGCCAAGTCCCAACATCCCCAGCCATCCTTGAGAGTGCAGGCACAGTTCTTATCAGCACTACAACTCAAGTCTGGCTAACTAGTTCACATAAATTCCTTCATGGATGCCACTTTGGTTACACTTCAGCAGTACTACAGATCACAAAGGCTTCTCTCTATTTTAAACCAACACACATACATTCTTGCTGAAGGCTCAAGCCCTTACCAATTTCAACCTTCACACCCTTTGTATAATAAAATTTTGAGGCTTTTGGGTTATTTCAAATAGAGCTAAGTGGTCTGTGGGTCACCCTACTATGGTGGGAATTTTTTTTTTTTTTTTTTTTTTTTTTTTTTTTTTTAAGTCGTCCATCTCCCACCGAGGCAGGGTGACCCAAAAAGAAAGAAAATCCCCAAAAAGAAAATACTTTCATCATCATTCAACACTTTCACCTCACTCACACATAATCACTGTTTTTGCAGAGGTGCTCAGAGCACAGCAGTTTAGAAGCATATACGTATAAAGATACACAACATATCCCTCCAAACTGCTAATATCCCAAAACCCCTCCTTTAGAGTGCAGACATTGTACTTCCCATTTCCAGGACCTGAAGTCCGGCTATATAAATTTTTTTTTTTTATTATTATCACACTGGGAGGCCAAGCCCATGATGACACTCTTCAGGTCACTTGTTCTATCTAGGCTGGAATATTGCTGCACACTAACAGCACCTTTCAAGGCAGGTGAAATTGCTGACCTAGAAAATGTACAGAGAACCTTCACGGCGTGCATAACGGAGATAAAACACCTCAATTACTGGGAGCGCTTGAGGTTCCTGAACCTGTATTCCCTGGAACGCAGGCGGGAGAGATACATGATTATATACACCTGGAAAATCCTAGAGGGACTAGTACCGAACTTGCACAGGAAAATCACTCACTACAAAAGCAAAAGACTTGGCAGACGATGCAACATCCCCCCAATGAAAAGCAGGGTGTCACTAGCACGTTAAGAGACCATACAATAAGTGTCAGGGGCCCGAGACTGTTCAACTGCCTCCCAGCATACATAAGGGGGATTACCAACAGACCCCTGGCAGTCTTCAAGCTGGCACTGGACAAGCACCTAAAGTCGGTTCCTGATCAGCCGGGCTGTGGCTCGTACGTTGGTTTGCATGCAGCCAGCAGTAACAGCCTGGTTGATCAGGCTCTGATCCACCAGGAGGCCTGATCACAGACTGGGCCACGGGGGCGTTGACCCCCGGAACTCTCTCCAGGTAAACTCCAGGTAAACAATGGCCGATTCCCACCAAGGCAGGGTGGCCCGAAAAAGAAAAACTTTCACCATCATTCACTCCATCACTGTCTTGCCAGAAGGGTGCTTTACACTACAGTTTTTAAACTGCAACATTAACACCCCTCCTTCAGAGTGCAGGCACTGTACTTCCCATCTCCAGGACTCCAGTCCGGCCTGCCGGTTTCCCTGAACCCCTTCATAAATGTTACTTTGCTCACACTCCAACAGCACGTCAAGTATTACAAACCATTTGTCTCCATTCACTCCTATCAAACACGCTCACGCATGCCTGCTGGAAGTCCAAGCCCCTCGCACACAAAACCTCCTTTACTCCCTCCCTCCAACCTTTCCTAGGCCGACCCCTACCCCGCCTTTCCCCCAAAGACTGATACACTTTTGAATCTTCTTTTTTGCCCCTTCCTCTACTTTCTGAACCACCTCAACAACCCTTCCTCAGCCCCTGGAAAACAGTTTTGGAACCCCCGCACCCCTCCTAACTTCCAAACTACAATTCTCGCAAAAATTTTTTCACCCACACTTCCCCTCAACATGACATCCCACTCCTCCAGCCTTCTCCTCCCAACATTCATCACCCATGCTTCACACCCTTTAAAAAAGGCGTTGGTAAACATACTCTCATAATTCCCCTCTTTGCTCCAAGGAAAAATTTTTTGTCCTCCACAGACCCCTAAGTGCACCACCCCCTTTTCCCCTCATCAATTCTATATTCACCTCATCTTTCAAACCCATCCGCTACACGTCCACTCCCAAAATCGAATACATTCCCTCCTCCATACTCTCTCCCTCCAATCTGTTTCCCAAATTTTTTTCATCACCTAATCTTTTTTTTTTATCCCAACCTTACCTTTCCCTGTATCCACTTTTAATTTTCTTCTTTTGCATACCCTACAAATTCATCCACCAACTCTGAACTTCTCTTCAAATTTCCAAAGCACAGTGTCTCAGCAAAAGAGAAACCGTGACAATCCCACTTTATTTGATTTTTTATTTTTTAAAACCTCCCCAAACGCCTTTTGCCAAAGACCCCGTTTTACTTTCTCTTAAAAACCCCATCAAAATAATTAAAAAACCCCGTGAATACACATCCTGTCTAAGGCCTACTTTTTACGGGAAAAAAATTTCCCTCTTTCCTACAACCTAATTTGACCCACATCATCATAAAAAACTCTCACTGCTTTCAGTAACCTCCTCCTATCCCATACACCTGCACATCTGCCACTTGCCCCCTATCCACCCGTCTACCCTTTTCCAAATCCATAAATGCCACAAAGCCCCTTTTTTAGCCTTACAAATACTGTTCACTTTTATTTTCACTGTAAACACCCGGGTCCACACCCCCTACCTTTCCTAAAGCCCCCTTGTCACGCTATCCTATTCCCGTCTTACTCTTAATTCTTTCAATAATAACTCACTATACACTTTTAAACCGGGTATACCAACGACTTACCCCCATAATTTTTGCACTCTCTTTTGTCCCATTTGCCTTTATACAAAGGAACTTTGAGGCTATATAAAAATAACCGGTTAAAAAAAATTCAATCTTAAATTTTTTTTTTTAGATCTTGATCCCTTCAAGTATTTGCTTTAATATATAATAAATAAAGAGAGAAACGGACTTGAACAATTTCATAACAACAAATTGAAGATGAAACTAGATTGTGTTTTTTAAAATTCCTGGACTACCATAAGTTGCAAATGAGAGAGAGAAGAAAATTTCTCTCTTCTCTTTTATTAGTTCCTCAGAAAAGAACAAAAAAGACATATCCATGAGTGGACCATCAGCCTCTTTACTTGCAAAGTACTCATTTCCCAAACTCATGCTTATGGGCCCTCTGACTGGCATGCATACCTAAATAATTATAATTAGAGCTATTTCCCCCCTTTTCTATTTATTACAATAACAGAAACTTTTAGAGAGGGTGTGGTAGTAAGTTTGGGGTCCCGGCATAAATGAAAAATGGGGGCCCTTTGATTGAAATTTGTATGAAAGGGGGTTTGTTATAGGGATTTTAAGAAAAGGATAAATAAATATACAAAATTATGGAGGGGGAAATGACAGTAGTTTGTTGGGTTATGTATTGGTAGATAAAAGACTGTAGTAGACTTTAGGATGTACAGTTTATTAGAGGGGCCACAAATATCGTCACTTTTTAGTTTTCTCAAATGAGAGTAAAAGGTAGATGGGGAACAAGGGAAAGAAACATCGGGAAGAAAGGTGAAGGTTTATAAACTAAAAAAAGAAGGCAGTTTGGGTAAGAAAAAAACAGCTTTGGGGGATAGATGGGCTAATAGAGCAAGGAAGGGGTCGAAGAGGGATGGGGGGGTTTAAAAAAAATTTGTGTTGGGAGTGTTCACAAAGTTTGTGGTTACAGGAAAGTGGGCGGGGGGGGGAAAAGGAGCGATTGGGGGATGATATGTAAAGAAATAGTAAGGGAAAAAAGTTGCATATGAAAAGTTTTTTTACAAAGTAGAATGAGCCAAGAGGGGAAAATAAGGAGAAAAAGAGAGGGTTAAGAGTGGGAAGCAATGAAAAAGAGACAAATGAGAATGGGTGAATGTTATCAACAAATTTTTTTGAAAATAAAGTGAAAAGGGGTGAGATTAAAAAAGTTTAAAGGGAAACCTAGAGAACAAATGGATTTGTCAGTTAAAAAAAGAAGGAGAGTTTATTAAATGGGAGTTAGAGGTATTGGGGGAAATGGAGGGAAATTTTGAGGAAAAGTTAAATGTTTTTGAAGATAGGGAAGCTGTGATTTCGTGTATAGGGCAAGGGGGAATAACATCTTGTAGGAGTGAGGAAGAGCCAGTTGTGAGTGTGGGGGAAGTTCGTGAGGCAGTAGGTAGAATGAAAGGGGGTAAGGCAGCCGGGATTGATGGGATAAGATAGAAATGTTAAAAGCAGGTGGGGATATAGTTTTGGAGTGGTTGGTGCAATTATTTAATAAATGTATGGAAGAGGGTAAGGTACCTAGGGATTGGCAGAGAGCATGCATAGTTCCTTTTTATAAAGGCAAAGGGGACAAAAGAGAGTGCAAAAATTATAGGGGGAGAAGTTTGTTGAGTGTACCTGGTAAAGTGTATAGTAGAGTTATTATTGAAAGACTTAAGAGTAAGACAGAGAATAGGATAGCAGATGAACAAGGAGGCTTTAGGAAAGGTAGAGGGTGTGTGGACCAGGTGTTTACAGTGAAACACATAAGTGAACAGTATTTAAATAAGGCTAAAGAGGTCTTTGTGGCATTTATGGATTTGGAAAAGGCGTATGACAGGGTGGATAGGGGGGCAATGTGGCAGATGTTGCAGGTGTATGGTGTAGGAGGTAGGTTACTGAAAGCAGTGAAGAGTTTTTACGAGGATAGTGAGGCTCAAGTTAAAGTATGTAGGAAAGAGGGAAATTTTTTCCCAGTAAAAGTAGGCCTTAGACAAGGATGTGTGATGTCACCGTGGTTGTTTAATATATTTATAGATGGGGTTGTAAGAGAAGTAAATGCGAGGGTCTTGGCAAGAGGCGTGGAGTTAAAAGATAAAGAATCACACATAAAGTGGGAGTTGTCACAGTTGCTCTTTGCTGATGACACTGTGCTCTTTGGAGATTCTGAAGAGAAGTTGCAGAGATTGGTGGATGAATTTGGTAGGGTATGCAAAAGAAGAAAATTAAAAGTGAATACAGGAAAGAGTAAGGTTATGAGGATAACAAAAAGATTAGGTGATGGAAGATTGGATATCAGATTGGAGGGAGAGGGTATGGAGGAGGCGAATGTATTCAGATATTTGGGAGTGGACGTGTCAGCGGATGGGTCTATGAAGGATGAGGTGAATCATAGAATTGATGAGGGGAAAAGGGTGAGTGGTGCACTTAGGAGTCGGTGGAGACAAAGAACTTTGTCCTTGGAGGCAAAGAGGGGAATGTATGAGAGTATAGTTTTACCAACGCTCTTATATGGGTGTGAAGCATGGGTGATGAATGTTGCAGCGAGGAGAAGGCTGGAGGCAGTGGAGATGTCATGTCTGAGGGCAATGTGTGGTGTGAATATAATGCAGAGAATTCGTAGTTTGGAAGTTAGGAGGAGGTGCGGGATTACCAAAACTGTTGTCCAGAGGGCTGAGGAAGGGTTGTTGAGGTGGTTCGGACATGTAGAGAGAATGGAGCGAAACAGAATGACTTCAAGAGTGTATCAGTTCTGTAGTGGAAGGAAGGTGGGGTAGGGGTCGGCCTAGGAAAGGTTGGAGGGAGGGGGTAAAGGAGGTTTTGTGTGCGAGGGGCTTGGACTTCCAGCAGGCATGCGTGAGCGTGTTTGATAGGAGTGAATGGAGACAAATGGTTTTTAATACTTGACGTGCTGTTGGAGTGTGAACAAAGTAACATTTATGAAGGGGTTCAGGGAAACCGGCAGGCCGGACTTGAGTCCTGGAGATGGGAAGTACAGTGCCTGCACTCTGAAGGAGGGGTGTTAATGTTGCAGTTTAAAAACTGTAGTGTAAAGCACCCTTCTGGCAAGACAGTGATGGAGTGAATGATGGTGAAAGTTTTTCTTTTTCGGGCCACCCTGCCTTGGTGGGAATTGGCCATTATGATAATAAATAAAAAAATACTGTATAAACATTTAAAAATATACCAGGAATGTTATAAATGGTGCAAAGGTGACATTAAAACAATATCATAGATGATTGACAGAAACCCACTACCATTATAGTATGTTCCTCACTTAGTGATGAATTCATTTACCAACTTGGTCTTAGGAATGGAACTCCATCGTTAAGTGAGGAGAGGCTGTTCACAAATAACCCGCACATAGGAGAAAGAAACTTATGACGACATGTATCTTTCCTCATTGATTTAATACCTGTACCCAAAGCTCTACTTTATTTCCTGATCGAGCATCTGTTCGTGTCTTTTGCCAGGCTCTTCAGGAATGTGGAGAAATTGTTGGCATGACAGGTGATGGTGTGAACGACGTTGTTGCCCTTAAACGTGCAAATATTGGTATCTCCATGGGCAAGATGGGTTCAGCGGTTAGTAAAGAAGCTGCTGATATGATCCTCAATGATGACAATTTCACCACTATATTGTAAGCATTGTATAAGTGATATGAAAGTTGTACTTATCCTCCCTTTTGTTGGATTGAGTCTGATTGCCTTCCATTTTTCCCCCATGCACTGTATGATCCCTGTTCAACACATCTTTTATGAATGAAATGTTATTAATAATTTGTTTTTATAGCATAGTACAGCCAAGTCTTGAATAGTGCAAATTTTGATGTAATGTGAAATAATTAATATTAGTTTTTTCCCAAACTCTTCAAATTGTGTGCAAACCTTGCAAATAATTTGAATAATGTGACCACTCCGCAGGAATCCTTACTGACACTAATCAAGACCTTGCTGTATTACACATTTCAGCGGGTCCTGGATCATTATCAAGTCAGTATTACTGTGCTCTTCTGTAAAGACTATTAGAGAATGAGACTTGATGATGGTTCAAGATGGACTGAAGTGTTTTCTAAGGTTTCCTCTTCAAATTATTGGTTAATAGTGAATTGTTCCAGCTACTGTATTGTCTTATTGTTCCTGTGAGTAATTTTGTCAGATATATATGGAGGGAATATTTTGAGGAATTGTTAAATGTTGATGAAGATAGGGAAGCTGTGATTTCGTGTATAGGACAAGGAGGAATAACATCTTGTAGGAGTGAGGAAGAGCCAGTTGTGAGTGTGGGGGAAGTTCGTGAGGCAGTAGGTAAAATGAAAGGGGGTAAGACAGTGATGGAGTGAATGATGGTGAAAGTTTTTCTTTTTCGGGCCACCCTGCCTTGGTGGGAATCGGCCAGTGTGATGATAAAAAAAAAAAAAATATTTATCATTGCCTAGGTAGTAGGTTGGTAGACAGCAACCGCCCAGGGAGGTACTACCATCCTGAAAGTGAGTGTAAAACGAAAGCCTGTAATTGTTTTACATGATGGTAGGATTGCTGGCATCCTTTTTTCTGTCTCATGAACATGCAAGATTTCAGGTACATCTTGCTACTTCTACTTACACTTAGGTCACACTACACATACATGTACAAGCATATATATACACACCCCTCTGGGTTTTCTTCTATTTTCTTTCTAGTTCTTATTCTTGTTTATTTCCTCTTATCTCCATGGGGAAGTGGAACAGAATTCTTCCTCCGTAGGCCATGCGTGTTGTAAGAAGCAACTAAAATGTCGGGAGCAAGGGGCTAGTAACCCCTTCTCCCATATAAATTACTAAATTTAAAAGAGAAACTTTCGTTTTTCTTTTTGGGCCACCCTGCCTTGGTGGGATACGGCCGGTGTGTTGAAAGAAAGAAAGATATTTATCATTGTTGCTTTTGGATGTACTGGAGGTCTTCCAACTTTGAAACAAATTATATTCCTCTTGTTTCAGCTTGCAAGTGGAAAACAGTAATACATGTAAAGTGTAAAAGGATTATGTTTCACACATATTTGTGTTGCTTATCAGCAGTTGTTAAAATTTAATTGGTTCCTAAGGTGTTTTTACCATATTCCTCTGACTTTTTTCAGAATTTTGATTATTGCATCTGTCAGTGAAAATGATCAGTGATATGGATGAGTAATTTAATGGATTCTGATTATAAATTCAGATAATTATACATATTGATATAGAGTTTCAGCTTGTGAACACCCCAGTTACAGATTGTTACATAATTGTGGGTCTGAAGTTACAAACATGTGATGTGCAACCATCCTTTATGCTTTTTTCTATACAAAATTAAGTTGCAGGTTATACACCTGAAATGCAGTCTGTGCCTTAGTTGGGGGTCTCCTTTCATTAACTTCTTTCAACGCACCAGCCGTATCCCACTGAGGTGGGGTGGCCCAAAAAGAAAAACAGAAGTTTCTCATTTTACATTTAGTAATATATACAGGAGAAGAGGTTACTAGCCCCTTGCTCCCGGCATTTTAGTTGCCTATTACAACACGCATGGCTTACGGAGGAAGAATTCTGTTCCACTTCCCCATGGAGATAAGAGGAAATAAACAAGAACAAGAACTAGAAAGAAAATAGAAGAAAACCCAGAGGGGTATGTATATATACATGCTTGTACATGTATGTGTAGTGTGACCTAAGTGTAAGTAGAAGTAGCAAGATGTACCTGAAATCTTGCATGTGTATGAGACAGAAAAAAAAAAAAGACACCAGCAATCCTACCATCATGTAAACAATTACAGGTTTCCGTTTTACACTCACTTGGCAGGACGGTAGTACCTCCCTGGGTGGTTGCTGTCTACCAACCTACTACCTAAGTCCTTTTATTAACTATTTAAAGTAATTATTAAACCAGTTATTAGTGTATCTAAGAATTGTATTGATGAAATGTCTTGTATGAATATTGAGTTATTCACTGACTTTGAGCAGTGCATTCAATTAACCCATGCTCAATATTACAGAAATAATGTGAATATTTTTGGGGTGGAGATAGGTTCAGTTTTGAACTGTAGTATCAGCTTGCCTCTGGCAAGATAATGATGGAGCAAGTTATGATGAAAGTGTGTCTTCTTTTTTCAGGTCAACCTTCATCTGTGGTAGATAGCCAGTCTGTTAAAAAAAAAAAAATATTTTTTATCTAACTAGAAACTCTTCTCAGGCTCAGGGGAGGCTTTCTAACAAGACCAAAATTATTCATGTTATAGTATTTCTGTACTGTTAAATGAGTTATTCATATGAATGTGTGTACACTGTGTCTATAAAATGGCATTTTTTTCAGATCTGCAATTGAGGAGGGAAAATGTATTTTTCACAATATTTCAAACTTTGTGCAATTCCAAGTGAGCACTAGCCTAGTTGCTCTCAGTCTTATTGCACTTTCTACACTCTTTGGCCTACCCAGTCCCCTCAACCCCATGCAGGTTAGAAGTAACTTCTTAAGCATGTAAACAGTTAATTACAAGCATAAAGAATATTTATCCATGAACATACTGTGTTTTTTTTATTTTTTTTTTTTTTATTATCACACTGGCTGATTCCCACCAAGGCAGGGTGTCATCTTATAACTTGTCAGCTATACTGTATTTTCTATACAGTATGTGGTGTTATCTTATAACTTGTTAGCCATACTGTATATACAGCATATGTATCATAACTTGCCAGCTATACTGTATTTATATACAGCATGTAAATCTTCGTATAACTTGTCGGGCTATTAATGACGTACTGTTTCTCGTGCATTATAGATCCTGCTGATTAATGTAATAATGGATGGACCTCCAGCACTCACTCTGGGTATGGAGCCTATTGATGATGATGTTAAAGTTCAACCTCCCCGAGATACGACCAAAGATCTGATAACAAAGAAACTCATCAAGAACTGTGTGATATCAGCTTCAGTTATAATTTGTGGAACCTTGTGGGTCTTCAGGTAGGTTATGAAGAATATTAGATTTTGGCACTGCAGATTATGTCATGAAAAAATTAACCACTTAAATATTAACATTATTATATATTATATTCATTCTCCATGGGGAAGTGGAACAGAATTCTTCCTCCGTAAGCCATGCGTGTTGTAAGAGGCGACTAAAATGCCGGGAGCAAGGGGCTAGTAACCCCTTCTCCTGTATAAATTACTAAATTTAAAAAAGAGAAACTTTTGTTTTTCTTTTTGAGCCACCCTGCCTTGGTGGGATACGGCTGGTTTGTTGAAAAAAGAAAGAAAATATTATGTTCATTGATAAGTGCTAAACCTCTATGGGTCGTACTGATGAAATATTACTGGAACTGAAATATTGGTGTTTCATGTATTGACGTGTTTGTTTTTAGGAACTGATTGTTTCCCATTTCCTAGGTGCTCTGTAACCCCTGCAGGCTCAGAGCTTCCTCTGATATATAATACTGATTGTAGAATGTGCTGTTTATAAAGAAATGTAAAGTACTATTAGCATGAGTTTGGTGTTCTTTGGGCAAGGGCCTTAGATTCAGACGAAATCGCAATTGCCTTAGAGATGACAGGTGTTGTTTCACTTCCTAAAGGGAGCAGCAGAAAGTGACAAAAAACTATAAATCAGTAGCATTGGCATCACATACAAAAGTCTGAAAGTGCATCGAGATATCATATTGCTGATTTTATGGAGAAACCTGCAAGTCGTGATTATAGAGCTGGAAGGTCATCCCTAGCACAATTATTAGATCAGTGATAAAATTTCAGAGGCCTTGGAAGATAATCTAGTCTCAGTAAAATAAAAGGCACGGTCTTAACACTATTATTGTTTCTCATCCTCAAAGCAGACATAGATCAAAATACTGGCACCATTTTATATTATCTTCTTTTGGACAATATGAAAATGACTATGAAAGTCATGTCAGTGAAAGATGGAAAAATACAAATCGATATCCATAAAGTTGTTCAATAAGCAAATAAAAGTAACATGATGATTAATTGTGGCAAATTTCAACTGCTCATGTATAAAAAGGCTGAAGAACAAAATGAACATTGAATACAGAATGCGGGAAGACCATCTCGTAGAACATAAAAAACAGGTGAAAGTCTTAAGAATAATAATGTCAGATCTGTCATTCAGAGAACAAGTAATGCAAATGCAGCATTTGCAAGGAAAATGGCAGAGCAGATTATGATAGCCTTCAAAATAAGATATAGTGGTATTAGAATGATGGTACTGTACAGTACTTTTCATATCAACTCTGTACACTTGCTTCTAATGGTATTCTAGTCGTAGCACCTTTCACACTGGACAAGGTACAGAGATCCTACTGTCCTCATAGAATCGGTAAATCTCTAATTTACTGGGAATCCCTCAGAGCATGATTAAAAAGAAAATGAGGTCATTAGGTCACAGTTAACTATTATAGATATATACCTGTAGAAAGAGGTGGTTTAAAAATTTATTACTCTTATATGCTATACTGTAATATATTTCTCAATTTTGTATTCTTAATTTTGTTAGGCAATAATTTCTCCTCTCTCCACAGATCTGAAATGAGTGATGGTGTTGTGACTGCAAGGGATACAACCATGACATTCGCTTGTTTTGTGATGTATGACATGTTCAATGCCATGTCTTGCCGTTCAGAGTCCAAATCAGTATTGGAGATAGGTATCACTTCCAATTGGTACCTATTTGTTGCTCTTACCGCTACAATTGTTTGTCTACTTGGTGTTGTGTACTTACCCTTTCTCCAGTGGGTGTTCCAGACAGAAGGCATCCACATCTCAGACTGGATACATCTTTTATGTCTCACCTCTACAGTCCTCCTTGTCTCGGAATTTCGAAAGTTCCTCGACCGTCGCCACGAATACTCTGCTGCAGTTTTTTCAAGCAAGAGATTTTGGTCATCAAAGAAATCTTCAAAATCATCATCATGGGTGGATGAAGTGTAAATTTTCATTTATGTAAAATTGTACGTATGAATGTTGAATGTGAGCATGTGTATAATGTACAGAAATTGTCCTTATTTAAGGATGAGTTGCATTTGAGTAGAATTTTTGTATCATTTTTAAAACTACAAGAAAACAAAATGTGAACTTCTGTGCCTCTGTCTCCCATCAGTTTTTTTAAGCATTTTATACAAGGGTGCAATATTTCCATCATAGGTTTTTTTCATTGTATTAAACCTGCAGGTATCTCAATTTGTAATTTTAGTGCTAATATATTCTTCCTCATTTGGTTTATTTTTTTACTTTTGACAGGATTGAAAAACTGCTAAATAAAACTGATCAGTTCAAATTATAAATATTTACCTATTTGTATAATATAAAGTTGCCATAATAAGCTCTTGCTCAAGGGTACCTACTGTAAGGTTTTAGCCATTATTGGAAGTCATTGAAGATTGTCAGCATTTCCTCCATATTGTATCTTGCTCTCATGCATGCATAAAAGGCAAACTAAATACTACATTAGCTCTTCTTTGATGCATTACCTGTAGAATTTTCACACATAAGTCAAATGGTTTTGTAAAGTAAAAGGACACAAGTGCAACTAATGTGACATTTTATTGTGGCAACGTTTCGCTCTCCAGGAGCTTTATCAAGCCGATACCGGCTTGACAAAGTTCCTGGAGAGTGAAACGTTGCCACAATAAAATGTCACATTAGTTGCACTTGTGTCCTTTTACTTTACATATTGTCAGTAATTCTACCAACATTATTACAATCATATGGTTTTTTTGTCTTGAGGTCAAATTCTACAGATATTCATAATTTAAATCTTAGATGTTGCTTATTGTTCAGTGATGCCCTTTTGGTTAATAGCAGTGCAGGCAATTTTTATCAGCAGTGTCGAGAATTTTTTATAATTTTTATAAACGGTTATAGAAGATGACTCAAATGTACTATGATGCTGATATAGTTTTGAGAATGTTTAACCTGTGTTACTCTTCCCTAATAAACGGAGTGGATCATATGTCCCATAATGTGGATACGATTTGCTTATTTGACTGTATTTTTACATTAAACTTTTATTGTAATACATGTGGTTTTTCTCAACAGAAAAACCTGTATTGCTTGACTATGATAAAATTGCAGGATTTCGGCATTTACAGTGTGACCTAGTTTCATGAATAAAATATTTTCCAGTATTTTTTTTTTTTTTTATTATCACACTGGCCGATTCCCACCAAGGCAGGGTGGCCCGAAAAAGAAAAACTTTCACCATCATTCACTCCATCACTGTCTTGCCAGAAGGGTGCTTTACACTACAGTTTTTAAACTGCAACATTAACACCCCTCCTTCAGAGTGCAGGCACTGTACTTCCCATCTCCAGGACTCAAGTCCGGCCATTTTCCAGTAACATGCATATATTTTTAATGTTGCACATACTGTAACAAATTTCCACCATGACTTCAGTTCAGTTCTGATTTATTTTCTGTTCTTACTGTATCCCCAACACTGAGTCACCTCACTCAGGTGACAGGAGCAGAGTGACCTGAACGAGAATCCAGTAATGTATGCTTCTAAGGTAAGCACATTTTTTTTCTTGCATCAAAATTGGGTATGACATTCAGCCTATGACCTGTAACAAAATATGAATGTGGTTTAAATTGTGTTGCTGTAATTTAGAATTCCAACTGCAATATCCCCATCCCAACTTCAGAGTGCAGGCATTGTCATATTCATTTCCAGGACCTGAGTCCTGCTAACTGGTTTCCCCAAATCCTTTCAAAAATCTTACCTTGCTCACACTCCAACAGTGTGTCCATTAAAAACTGCTCATCGCCACTCATTCCTAACAGGCTTACAAAAGCCTGCTCGATTCATAAGTCCCTAAAATTTAATCACCACTGTCCCTCTGCAGTGCTGTATATCCCTTATGGGTTTAGCACTTATTTGTGATTATAATAATCTATCCAACCATATTTGAGATGACCCCTACCATTCTTACCTCTTGCCCCAAATATATCTCCTATATCATCTTGTCCCTCTCCAGTCTTTCTACATGCATAAACCACCACAACAAGCCCTCTGAAATGAATTGTTGATAACCTTAACCCGCCTTTTAATTTATACGCTCTGAATTCTTTGCACACAATACAACATTCATGCCACACGCTGCATTCGTACATGACCACTTTATTTATATCTGTATTACAGCGCTGTATGAGCCCTATGGGTTTAGTGCTAAGTTATGATTACAATATATCTGTATTAAATAAGGTGGGAGATTGCCATTGTTAAAAAATAAAATGCAGATATAAGCAAACATCTGTATTTATATCTGGAATTTTTATCCGTATGTAGATTTAAATGCACACACATTCAAATATAAATAATAAATATAAATAAATGCGTGAGCGTGTTAGGAGTGAATGGAGACGAATGGTACTTGGGACCTGACGATCTGTTGGAGTGTGAGCAGGGTAATATTTAGTGAAGGGATTCAGGGAAACCGGTTATTTTCATATAGTCGAACTTGAGTCCTGGAAATGGGAAGTACAATGCCTGCACTTTAAAGGAGGGGTTTGGGATATTGGCAGTTTGGAGGGATATGTTGTGTATCTTTATACGTATATGCTTCTAAACTGTTGTATTCTGAGCACCTCTGCAAAAACAGTGATAATGTGTGAGTGTGGTGAAAGTGTTGAATGATGATGAAAGTATTTTCTTTTTGGGGATTTTCTTTCTTTTTTGGGTCACCCTGCCTCGGTGGGAGATGGCCGACTTGTTAAAAAAAAAAAAAAATGTATTAAACAGATATGTAAATGCAGATATAGATAAAGTTTGGCATGAGATCACTAAGTTGGATTTAACAGTTAAAAACGAAAGAGGGCCGTCATTAGATCAGAGGCAGAAGGAATATTTTGGGGAAGTATTGAATGTCGATGGAGAGGAAGGCAGTGATTGCTTTCATTGGTCGAGGGAAGTTAACACATTTGAGGAGTGAGGACAGCACTTCATAACCCTTGTGGGTTAGTTCCCCTCAAGGAAGGTTCCTTGATGTTGGTGAGGGGCTCTTGATTTAGGGAATTGGATCTGTGCTCCAGTTCCCCAAATTAACCCCTCAAGGAAGGTTCCTTGATGTTGGTGAGGGGCTCTTGATTTAGGGAATTGGATCTGTGCTCCAGTTCCCCGAATTAAGCCTGAATGCCTTCCACATCCCCCCCACAGGCGCTGTATAATCCTCCAGGTTTAGCGCTTCCCCCTTGATTATAATAATAATAATCCCCAAATTAAGCCTGAATGCCTTCCACATCCCCCCCTCCCCCAGGCGCTGTATAATCCTCCGGGTTTAGCGCTTCCCCCTTGATTATAATAATAATGTGGGTTAGTTCTCATTGTAATACTGAGGAGTGAGGAAGACCCAGGTGTGAGTGTGGGGGAGGTGAGGCAGCAGGTACAATGAAAGGGAGTAGAGCAGCTAGGATAGAAGGGATTAAGACAGAAATGCTAAAATTAGGTGGGGATATAGTTTTGGAGTGGTTGATGCATTTGTTCAGTACATGTATGAAAGGGGAGTGGAGATCGCATGTATTTTTTATTATATGAGCAGAAAACATTCCCCTGAACGAATCTGCTTGGACTTCCTACACATTTTTGCAACATTGCAAGCTCCTGATGAAGTGTTGATTACAATGTGAAAGGCCTAGAGCTATCATTCAACTCTCTTGTGGTGGTTATATTTTCTTTATTGTGTGTGTGCCCCCTCAAGGAATCTGTGCTCCAGTTCCCAGAATTAAGCCTGAATACCTTCCATTCTCCCCTCCCCCACCCCACAAGTGCTGTATACTCCTACGGGTTTAGCGCTTGCACATGATTATAATACTAATAATATTGTGTGAAAAATGTAACATTCGTATTGTCATTAATAACTAATACTACCATTAAAGAGCTGTATGACCCTTGTGGGTTTAGCACTTAGCTATGTAGCATAATTATTTTTAGATGGTATAAAATCATTTACATCCTTGATCCAGTCGATGTCCGAATCTGTTCATCCAACTTCATTTTAAATTCCACATTTTTTACTCCAACTGCTGCTAAATTTCCTAGTCGATATTTTAATTATGATTTAATTCTTAGTTTCTTGTAGGGAGAAAACAGATAGTTTATGGAGCTAGGAGCACATATTACGTAATTAAACCCCTCAAGGAAGGTTCCTTGATGTTGGTGAGGGGCTCTTGATTTAGGGAATTGGATCTGTGCTCCAGTTCCCCGAATTAAGCCTGAATGCCTTCCATATCCCCCCCAAGCGCTGTATAATCCTCCGGGTTTAGCGCTTCCCCCTTGATTATAATAATAATAATAATACGTAATTAAAGGAAGCCACAAGATAGGATTCGGAGTGAGCGACCAGAGGCGGGAAGGTTGACCGAACACACTTCAGGTCAGTCTTTTATCTCGCTATTTAACCTGTTTTAAGTGTTCTAATCGCACTTTTCTCACTATACAATATTGAAATATTATATGGAGAAACACCACCGCCAGAGGAGTAGCCGAGGAACTCAATATTTACCACCAGAGAAGCAAATCTGTCTTATTTACCGGAGGTGCTGCGACATTGGTTCCGAAAATCGACAAAGAATTAGATACTTGTGCAGTGTTTGGGAATATTTATTGTGGGAACGTTTCGCCAGTCAGTGGCTTTTTCAGTCTGATGTTTCGCCAGTCAGTGGCTTTTTCAGTCTGATGTTTCGCCAGTCAGTGGCTTTTTCAGTCTGATGTTTCGCCAGTCAGTGGCTTCTTCAGTCTGATGTTTCGCCAGTCAGTGGCTTTTTCAGTCTGATGTTTCACCAGTCAGTGACTTCTCCAGTCTTATGTTTCGCCAGTCAGTGACTTCTTCAGTCTGATGTTTCGCCAGTCAGTGGCTTCAGTCTGATGTTTCGCCAGTCAGTGGCTTTTTCAGTCTGATGTTTCGCCAGTCAGTGGCTTCTTCAGTCTGATGTTTCGCCAGTCAGTGGCTTCTTCAGTCTGATGTTTCGCCAGTCAGTGGCTTTTTCAGTCTGATGTTTCGCCAGTCAGTGGCTTTTTCAGTCTGATGTTTCGCCAGTCAGTGGCTTTTTCAGTCTGATGTTTCGCCAGTCAGTGACTTTTTTAGTCTGATGTTTCGCCAGTCAGTGGCTTCTACAGTCTGATGTTTCGCCAGTCAGTGACTTTTTCAGTCTGATGTTTCGCCAGTCAGTGACTTTTTCAGTCTGATGTTTCGCCAGTCAGTGGCTTCTGCAGTCTGATGTTTCGCCAGTCAGTGGCTTCTGCAGTCTGATGTTTCGCCAGTCAGTGGCTTCTGCAGTCTGATGTTTCGCCAGTCAGTGACTTCTTCAGTCTGATGTTTCGCCAGTCAGTGACTTTTTCAGTCTGATGTTTCGCCAGTCAGTGGCTTTTTCAGTCTGATGTTTCGCCAGTCAGTGACTTCTTTAGTCTGATGTTTCGCCAGTCATTGGCTTCTACAGTCTGATGTTTCGCCAGTCAGTGACTTTTTCAGTCTGATGTTTCGCCAGTCAGTGGCTTCTTCAGTCTGATGTTTCGCCAGACAGTGACTTCTTCAGTCTGATGTTTCGCCAGTCAGTGGCTTCTTCAGTCTGATGTTTCGCCAGTCAGTGGCTTCTTCAGTCTGATGTTTCGCAAGTCAGTGGCTTCTTCAGTCTGATGTTTCGCCAGTCAGTGGCTTCTTCAGTCTGATGTTTCGCCAGTCAGTGGCTTCTTCAGTCTGATGTTTCGCAAGTCAGTGGCTTCTTCAGTCTGATGTTTCGCCAGTCAGTGGCTTCTTCAGTCTGATGTTTCGCCAGTCAGTGACTTCTTCAGTCTGATGCAGACAAAGGTGGAAGATTAGGAGGTGTTTGAGGTAATTAGTCCAACACAGCAAGATGATGGACTCAACACAGCAAGATTGATGGATTCAACACAGCAAGATTGATGGACTCAACACAGCAAATGATGGACTCAATACAGCAAGATTGATGGCTCAATGCAAGATTGATGGACTTCACACAGCAAGATGATGACTCAATACGCAAGATGATGGACTCAATACAGCAAGATTGATGGACTCAACATAGCAAGATTGATGGACTCAACACAGCAAGATGATGGACTCAATACAGCAAGATTGATGGACTCAACATAGCAAGATTGATGGATTCAACA